GCAATTGCTCACCACCCGCTGACCGATGCCCAGCCAGTCCCTGAGCAGTGGTCACTGCCCCCAGTTTATGTACTGAGCATGACGTCACATGGTATGGAATGTCCCTTTGGCCAGTTTGGGTCAGCTGTCCTGGCTGTGCCCCCTCCCAGCTTCTCGCTGGCAGGGCATGGGAAGCTGAAAAGTCCTTGGCTAGTGTAAGCACTACTTAGCAACAACTAAAAGATCGGTGTGTTATCAACATTATTCTCATCCTAAATCCAAAGCACGGTGCTATACCAGCTACTAGGAAGGAAATTAACTCTATCCCAGCCGAAACCAGGACACAGCCCTATAATTCAGTGTTCTTCTTTGTTTGAAGGTGTGGCTGAAAGAAACATAAAAGACTGTAAACTGCAGTATAGAAATGCTTGTTTGTATTTAAAAATATTTTTAAACTGTAAAGGCACGTTGGAAGTTTCTCCCTCTTCCCCTTGCCAAATTACTTTTTCAGGCAGTATGTAAAGGCAGAAAGTCCTTTTTTTTAAATTCTTTTTTTAAGTGTCAGATAAGATTTATGTGCAAGAGAATTGAGCGCTATATTAAAGACTGTGTTACTATCCATCATTTTTAAAGTGGTGTGAAGAAAAATAACACTGTGTGTATGTGTGGCTATATTTGCAAAATTGTTAAAGGAGCCAAATTCAAATGTAGTGCATATGTAAAGGCAGAAAGTCCTTTTTTTTAAATTCTTTTTTTAAGTGTCAGATAAGATTTATGTGCAAGAGAATTGAGCGCTATATTAAAGACTGTGTTACTATCCATCATTTTTAAAGTGGTGTGAAGAAAAATAACACTGTGTGTATGTGTGGCTATATTTGCAAAATTGTTAAAGGAGCCAAATTCAAATGTAGTGCATAATGCCAGGGATGACTATTTGGAGTTCCCCCCCCCCTCCCCCCCCCCCCCCTTTCTTCTTGGGTCATTGGTCAGTAGTGAGCAAAGATCTGTTACTGTCTGACAGGTATTCACTGGCTTATGTTAAATATTTATAGGTATTTCTGTCAGTAGTTTCAGATGTTCATCTGTAGCTAAAAGTAAGGCGCTCTTCCACCTTCTATCCCAAAAACGTTCTTGCAAATTTTAACAAAGTCTAAGTGGAGAAGGGTGAGGTCCGTGATCCCATCCCATTGAATCTTTCACTCTCTGGTCTGTTGTGATTTATGGTGCTTTTTTCCCCCCTATGTAATAAAGGTAGGCACTTCCCACTTGGCACTCTCAGATCAATCTTTTTCACCTTTCATCCTACCTTCTGGTGGCATCATTGTCAATAGTCGCACTTGCTTTTGGTCAGAGGAAAAAGGAATGTGGGGACAGTTTGTTATGTCTATGGGGGTTTGGATTGCGCTCAGATCGTACACGCGCTCTTCCCCATGACAGATGGATGTAAAACAAATAGCTTATCGTGCTGCAGAGGCTCAAGAATACCTACCGGAAACTGGACGTCACCAGAGGTGGACAGAGCTCCAGAAAGATTGTCTGATATTGGGCAGTCAATTAGAAACTTGAATGAAGCACTATCTGTTATTTAGTATTACAAATAGTTGCATTGAGAGAGGGTAGGAGAAACAAACAGTTTCCACTGTTGTGGGTTGTTGCAGAGGCAAGACAAGATGAGGCAGCAGAAAGGTATAGACCTCTGCATCTTTCCCTCCTGTTACTCATGGCTCAGAAATCTCTCTTCATCAGTACTTTGGAATCAGTTTTGAATAGTGTGAGTGAAGGAAGTAAAGTCTGGCAGTTACAGTGCCTTTTTAAGGCTTCACCTAGAATCAAAAGAAACTGTTGAAGAAGTTGAGTCTAGAGACACTGAATTTGGCTAATTTTCAGAGAGTTGTTCCATGTTGCACAGGTAAATGATATGAGCTTTATTGTCTGCTGAAGTAACTTGTCTTAAATTTCTAAGTGAATTCTGTGTTTGTTCTATGAATATTGAAAAGAAGTTGCCAGGTGGAAAAATGAATCACCTTTCTCCTTGCATAGATTTCTCCCCTTTCTTCAAAAAATACATGCTTACAGGTTCACGAAGCCAGTCCTCCATTGTTAGTTTTATCATCTTTCAACCATATGGTATGTTCTCTTATATATGCCAAAGAAATGGTACCAAGTCCAGGTGTGGTTCAATGTATCCTCTTGGCTGGCTTTCTTTAAGCCCAGTAGAGCACTTTTGAAAATCAAATATTTCTTCTTCTATCCACATTTAACTGAGAGCTTTAATGGAGGTCTTGCCAAAACCTTTAAAACTGGGAACAATTTAAATTACAGTTGTATAGAACCTCTAAGCCCGGGAAATGAATAATTGCTGGAGCCTACTTCTGTGACATAGCTTGGTTGTTTTAGTTTAACAGAAGTATAATAGAAGCTTTGCATTAAGGAGCAAGTCTATACTTAGCTCATTGTAATGCTCTTAGCATGCTTAAAAGAGGCTGTTTTATTTTGGTGTCTAAAATTCTTTGTTTAAAGTTTCTTCCAAAATCCCTGTCTCGAGTATAAAGGTTTTTGTCACATTAAGTCATTTATATGACTGACAAATAAAATTCAGCATAGAATTGCAATCCCAGAGAAATACTTTTAAAGGAAATAAATCTGAGCAGGAAGATTTAGTATAGGCATTGTAATGCCTTTCCTGCAGCTACTGGGAGCCGGGTTTTGACTACAGACTGCTAGAATCCTGGTGTTGTGGCTGTAAACACTGATTAGTGAGACTGAGTTCTTCCCAGGTGTTGAAATTACATGTGCTATTGCAGTGTTAGGAGTTGTTCAAATCCATCATAAAAAGGGACTTTATAAATAGAAGTGTTTCGGAGAGGGCAAATCATGTTCCTTTTAACTAACTCAGTCCAGTGGTTGGGGCGGCCTTTATTGAAAGTCAGCTTTCTTTAAAAAAAAAAAAAAAAAAAAAACTTGCATCTGAGCAGTAGCCATAGATACTTCAGTTTAAATACAGTTTCCTGCAAACATGAGTTCTTGGTTTTCTTTCTTTTAAACAGCCATTAAGAAGTACCTCTCAGAACCATTGACTGAATGCGTTCTGAAGCTCCTTGATTCATTCAATATATGAATGACTATTACACATTTGTTTAACATGTAGGGGGAAAAAATCATTCTACCAAAGCATACTTGAGGAACCTTTTGCATTGCTTGAATAGTTGCCGTCTTCAAAATAAAAATAGAGGCAGCTTAATTTTGGCCCTACAATTGGCTATTTACGGGTTTTTTGCTATTGCACTCTTTTCCCAAACTATGTATCTGCAGTCTTCAGGTATATCAGTAGTTTAAAAAATGTTTTATTTTCTTCCAAAACTGTGGGAAACTTACATTACTTTTTCTGCAGAGCACCAAAAGTGCAGAAGCTGTAGCAGCAAATCAGGCTTGTGGTTCATCAAGTAGGACGTATCAGTTTCTCAAGTTACTTTTCCTGTTTAAAAGTTTGAAGCTATTGCTATTTTAGACCAGTTGGAGTTTGGAGCCAGCTTCTTCATATAGTAGTGTACAAAAGTTCCAATTGATTATAGTTTAATAGGCTAATCCTGCAAATGGTCAGATGCATGCATAGCTATATTCATGTTGATAGTTCTTTTAAGTATAAAATAGGACATGTGGAAATAGCAGTTGTTAGTAAACAAGGGGAAAGATCACAGGAATGGCTATCAGGCACCTTGTTGGTTTGATAGCGTGTGAGTTTCAGAGATAAAACTCAAAAACATCCTACCAGACGTCAAGTGGTAGTGAGAATGACTGGGTAAAAGAGCAGGACTGAAAAAGAAAGAGAGAGATCAAAACAGAGAAATGGGGGAGTTGAAAGAGAAGCACAGCAAGTAGAGAAACTAAAATTAAACTTAAAATACCAAGAGAGAACTAGGAACGGTCACTTGATGCATTGGCCTCAAACCCAGGGAGTATGTGTAAGGGTAGCTTAGAAATATTGACTCGGGGGCTTTACCAAGTCATGCTTAGAAGATCTGAAATTTCTTTTTCCATTTCTTTTTCTACCCTTCAGATTTATGGCAATGGATGACACACCTAGCTGTCCAGAGGCAATGTCTTGAAAGGCTGTGCATTAGCCACTATGATTGTAACTCTTTTAGAAGAGATGTCATTGGAAGGCTTTTCCTGTGCTGGGTCAACGTTTGTGTATTCGTGAGACATTGTTAGGGGAAAAAGTATAATAAATTGATCTGTAGTATTTGCTCATTTTCAGATATCATAGATAGGGAAGGAGGAGATTGCATTACTTTTTGATTAGTGATCAAGCTGATGGAATTTAATTATGAAATTATAGATCAGACTGCTCATCTTGCTAACTTAGTAGGTTAATGTAAATGATAACTTTTAACCTGGATTATTTGGAGTGGGGGTGTTTGTTTTGAATCTCTAGCTTTCACCTCTATTTTTCTAGAAGTCTACGTACTAGCTAACAACACAAGTCAGGTCATGTTTGAAGTTTTGTGCTACTAGATATCCATGGTACAGCTCTGTATAGGGGCAGGGACTCTGGCTGGCATCCTCTTTACTGGCTAGGAATCTGCTCTAAACACTATTAGGGAATATAATTATATCATCATTATTTCTCAGCTGTGCCTTTTGTCTAATTATATGCAAGTTTAAAAACTATTATTTTGGCAACTTTGTATAAATATTGTCAAAGTACTCTGCGTTTTGCTCTTCCCAGCAGCCAAGATATCAGAACTAGTGTAGATGTTTTCACTTTGTTGTTTGTGGTTTGTGTGCTGTTCTGGGAGTGTGTATGCACATATGCTGTATGTATTTCCTACTATTAAAGATAAAGGAACCCTGGTGACTTCTGTTACTCTCTCTCTAATGAAGCATGAAGTCTGGGTACCAACAACAATAAAAGTAAATATTGTTGGCAGATAAGGAGTAAGTCTAGGGTTTCTTTTCAATCACCACTTACGCTTCCTCCATAGGCACTAACTTTTGACTGCTATTTGCTCCTTTTCTAGGCAAATCTTGCTCAACTACTGAGTGAGGCTCAAGATCGAAATAAACATCTTGGAGAAGAGATTAGAGAGCTTCAACAGAGACTGGGAGAAGTACAAGGGGACAATAAGGTATTACAAACTTTTGTTGTCAGTAAATGGCATGGAATGTGTAAACTGGGCTGGAGTTTTGCATTTACTTCTTAGGAAAACAAACAAAAATAATGGGTTGCAGAACTTCTAGAATACTTGGATTAAAATAAATGCTCAAAACAGTAGAACGAAAGAAGCTTGTATAGGATACCAGTAAGTGCAGCTTATTATATATTTTTATGTTGCTTTTGCTCTGTTGTCCTTAACTATGTATTTTGCACCTAGCCTTGCTTTAATGATCTCAGACTTACTTTATTTTTTTTTTAATGTATTTTATTGGTGGTATTTGCTTTTACAAATAAGTACAGATAAGCATTTTTTCTTTGTCATGTGATAATTTTCAATTTTTTTGCAATGAAAACGCAAGATTTTAGTAGATGGTAAAACCAGGGGAGGCATAATTTTTCCCTTCAAAAATATGGAGCAGGTGATCACAATATAGATAAGATGGTAAAACCAGGGGAGGCATAATTTTTCCCTTCAAAAATATGGAGCAGGTGATCACAAATATAGATAGTGAGCTTTGTATTAGGCCCTCATCCTATTACCCTTACATAACTAATTTATTTTATTGCTAAATTTAGCAAATTATATGGAACATTGCTCAAAATCTGCCATTTGGTATTAATCAAACTCCTGTTGTCTCTGTTAATTGAAATATTTAAACTCAAGCCAAATGTGTGTAACATTCACAGCTGGAACTGTATGCAAAAGTACATTCAGAGATCGAACTAGTGAGAGGTTGAATTTGAGAGTCGAGGTGGTTAACGAAGTAAAAAATGAAACAAATAATGAATAACTTCCCTCCCTCAAGTACGGTTTTAAAGTTATGGGATTTAAAAATGTGAATAAAAATGATGCCGCTTTTAATTATTCAGGTGGCTTTTTTCTTTCCATTTAAGTTCATTTTATTTTATTTATTTTATTTTAAACGTAAGTGTATTGTGACAATGCAGTTTTATTCATTGTTTATCACAAAGGACTTCCTTGAAGGTGTCCAGGGAGCTGGGAAAGGGTCAAGTGAGACCTGAATTTGTAGTATGCATAGCATCCAGTGTAACTTGCTCAAGTCTCCAAAGACCAGCTTCCCCAGTGTTTCTTTTCATTTACATGTTATTGTTTGAATGATATTACAGTGCGGAAGGCAGTGCCTTCCAGTTCTCCAGTACCAGTATTATGCCATACAGCCTTTCCCAAGCCAGTCCTGAACAAATAACAAGGGTTTGTTAGTACAAACAGAACACAAAGGTAGTAAAACTACAATATATTTAAATACCAAGGTTATGTACCTATTCTAATTCCTTATAACACTATGATCTTGGTAACACAGAGCCGCCTACTTTGTGCTTGAACTGGCTTTGTTTAGATTTGCCTTTGTGGGTTAACTTGATATTAGCTGGCCATTTTTGTGACATCTGTATTCTCGGCATGAATTTGAATTCATGACCCTCATAAGGAATGGAAAAATACAAAAAGAGTTATTCTGCCCACTGTGCCCCTCTCCAAAAGGTGCAAAATAGTGCATCACTAAATATAGAGGGGGAGGAAAGAACTGCATCAGACAGGGATTAATTTAGACTAGGATTTTCATTTTTGGAACACATTCTTCACTTTCCTAGTAAATGAGAAATAGAGCTTATTTTAGAGTCAGGTTGCTGTTTTTTGAAGTGCCTAAAAAAGCATTGCCATCTATCTGAGGGATTTAACGCTCTCCTCCTGTGTCAGATTTTGCTCCCTTCTAGCTTTGGTGATAAAATTCTAGGCTTGTTCCCAAAGCCATTCTGTTCTGTTCATCAGTTCTCCTGTACTGGCAGCTGGGTTACTTCAGGCACTGGAGTCCAGATAATGCATGGTATATACAAAAACAAAGAACTATAATAATTTGCTTGTTCTTACATTTTTCCCCTGCATTCTTCTCTCTGCTTTTTCCAAAGTGAGGGAGGGCATCCTGCCCAGCTGGTCTACGTCAACCTTACTTCTGGCAAGAGATGAACAAACAGCTGCTTTTGCAGCGAGTGAAGCTGCTTATGGATGAACAATTCTGCCTGTGTCTGAGCAGGGGTGACTCATGCAGGCTTTGTCACTGATTGGCAAGAGCTTTGTAGGACTAAAAAAGAAAAAAAATCTTTAAATATCACACATTAGCTCTATTGATAAAGAATTGTTTTGATAGCTTGACTTGTTTTTCACCACTTTAATGTTTGCTACTAGCAGGATACGGTCACTTGGATTAGCAAGACCTTAAACTGGTGACATTTTACTTGTTGAAATCATGTTAAGTATGTCATCAGTTAGGCAATAACAAATTACTTGCATTTCGTTTAACTGGACTAATTTTTTCCTTTAATTTCAGCTAGAATTCTGTTGGCATGAATAATAAAACTTCTTCAGGCGGTCTCTGAAAGGATTTGTTGCTGCAGTTTCAGAAATACAGCAATAGTTAGACTGCAGTGCTCCAGCAACAGATATCTAAGACTATTTATTTTATGATTGATCACAATCTCTTATCAGCTCTGACACATGAAAACTATTCTATGTTTATGATAGTTATTTGTAAATCTTTTTCCTTCCTAACGTTCTGGCAGCAATGCTTGGAGAACAATTACTGAAACTTAGAGGAGGATAGTTAGGAAATAGAATTCTCTCTTGTAAAAGGGTGAAAATGGAAAGCGTAAGAAAAACTGGAGGCTTCTGGAAGACTAGATGACTCAGTTGCCTTCACTTGAATTCCTACGCACGCAAACAAATGGTTTTGTAAGCTGTCAAAGGCAGTGCTAAGCGAGAGGAAGATGCATGGAAAACAATGGCTGCAGTATTACTGACAGTGTGTTATTATAAGGCAGACAATCATTCATGCAGCAACAGTGTGAAATGTTAAATGTGGTGCATATGTTTTGGCAGAACTGGGACTTAAGGTAGCAAATTTGCATAGTTCTGGTCCACTTTTTAAGATTTTGTAGGCAACATGGTGAAGACAATTGCTGTCAGTGACTGTGGCTAAATATGATGGTTTCTGCCTTCCATGAAGGATTTACTGGTTGTGCTTGTTTCCCTTTTCCTTCTGCATGTTTTATCAATAATCAGGAATGTACAACTTCGGCACAGGCATTGTCTGTGGACTCCTAGCCTGCACAGCAGCTACCGCAGTGAAGCCTGTTTGGGCATTGTGGGGCTGCTACAGAGTTGCTACTTTATAAATAATTATTTTAGCTGACACTGATTAAGAAAAAGCTGTGATATTCAAATAATAAAGACTAGTGGCTTGCAGCACTGGATTGTTTTGATTAGCAATCTATGGGTTCTTGACAAACAGGAGCTATCTCTGGTAAGGTGCCATTAATTTAAACCCATTCTGCTGTGGATGCTGTTCACAGAATCCTGAGGGGTAGCGTTAACCTATTCTCTAGCTGCAAAATGAAGTTGAGCGGTCCTTTCCTCAGTGATTTCTGAATGACAGAAATAAAAATGCAGCAGCCAGAGGACAGGTGTATAAAGTTTATAACAAAGCACTAATATATGAAATAAATCCTTAACCCTCTGGCATAACACTTAGTGTCTCTTTGGGTCACAGCATTTTCAGGGAAGAATTTTATAGCAGGTGGTGCTGCCTCATGAGGCATTCGCAATGCAGAACTAAAGGACTTGGCCTGTTCTGCCCTGTCAATGCTCTGATTGGCCAACTGTCTGGAAGAAGCACTCTGTCATTTTATGGATTGGTATTTTACTTTATTTTATGTATGTTTATAATGCTGCTTTTACTGGCTGAATTTGGATTTCTGAAGCATTCTTTTCATAAGACTTCATACGTGGTTTTTTTCGCCTCAAAATTAGTAGTAAATAAAGAGTTCTCCTTTTATTGGCAGACTGTTTGACCTTGCAAGTAATAATTGCTTGCAGTTATAATTGCATCTTATGCCTCGTCCCCTCCTGGGCTGAAGTTGAGTTGGTCATAGCGCATGAGTCACAGCTCTGATCCAGTTCCCAGCCTGGTGCCAAGGGTTACACAGAAGTTTTGCTCTGCTGCAGGCATTGGAGGCATTCGTAAAGTATGATTCCCCTTCCCGTTTCCAGTTTTTCTGAACGAGACTGAGTCCTCAAAATGTTATTACATTTGTTTCTTACTGCCTTTCTCACTAGCAAGAGATTCTAGAAATTAAATTAATCTAACTGAATTAAATCACGTTACCATACCTTTGTTCATCAGGCTTTTAGCATTTAAAAAAAACAAATCCCATAGCTATGAAGCCATTCCAGGATTTGCTAGTTGCCTTTTCGACTTATTTGTTTTGATAAAGAAATTAATAGGAATTATATCTCTTGGGACCCATTCAGCCTTACTAACTGTGCAGTGGTTTGTACTTTCCCTGTGGGGATAGGGAAATGTAGTTTGCCAAAACCAGTTACTTTTGGGGGCGCAGCTTCCCCTGAACAAGTGAACTGTTTATCAGAACAAGTTGTACTAGCTTCAGTGACTTGCACTGAACTGGAGCTGAAACAAGTGGGGAGCATGATTTTGGTAGTCTGTCTTGCATCAGCAGGATTTTAATTGGCACATTGCAGCTATGGTGACTGGCATCCCATAAATACCAAAGATAGATTTTAATGTACAATCTTCTACTTCAGAAGATTGATTTTTTTTTTTCTAACTCTGCAATATAATGATGTACATTAATTCCTTGGTGCAGTCAAAGATATGGGGAAAGTCAGGCTGTTTATTGTGGTGGGTTTCTCTAGTCTCTGTGGAGCTCCTACAAATGAGGCAGGCAACACTTTTGCCTAGTTGTACTCAGTATAAACAACTGTAAATGCTGAATGCCTCATAGACTGTTATTTTAATACTCCATGATTCTTGAAAGGTAGTTGCTTTTTGCTTTGGATATTGAATATAACTGTGTATTAATTCAACTCAGACTGTTTTCAGCAGTCACAAAACTCATGAATTCACTAGCTGTTTGAGCATTTTGGCCAAGTCTTTTTGTTGTTGGCCTGTTTTTTTGCTTTTAATATGAATTAACTTTTGTGAGTAGATGAAAAAAATAATGCACAAGCAAATGTATTAGCAACTGTTAATGCAAATTCTTTACTGATGTAGCACAGTGGGGTTTTAAGTGGTATCAGTAAAATGAAGCTGGGCAAGCTACTTTGTGCCTTTTTATTCTTAACTAGGAAGAGTTCTCTGCTGCAGAGAATTTTAAGATTTACATATGAAAATGGCTTTCTGAGAATTCTCTAGTTTTAGTCTGACCAGAAATAGTTCCTGTCAGTCCTAAAAAAACATCGACCACGTGTCTGTTTACTTGGTCTTTCATCATTTGTATACTCTGGTAACTTGTTGCAGGGTCTAATTCAGCTCCTGTTGATGCTTTGAGTGTTCGACTGGCATGTTTCGCTGAGAACGGGATTGAGCCCTCAGCTCAGAAAATTCCCTCTGGTTTAAATAATACCGGCTGTTTGGCCTGGAAGAGATGAAATCGATGACAGCTTTACTTTTTCTAGTGCAGATGTACTCTGATGCTACAACCTGCGTTCTGCTTACGGAATCTGTTTTTGTAATTGCAGCTTCTTCGAATGACAATAGCAAAGCAAAGACTTGGAGATGATGAAGTTGGGTCTCGCCACTTCGCAGCACATGAACGGGAGGACCTTGTTCAACAATTGGAGAAGGCTCGAGAGCAAGTAATAACTAAATGGGCATATACTGTCATGTTTTACAGAGCTAGTGCAGTAGCAAGTAAATGACTGCCTCTATTGTGTTTGGAGGGCTGGTAGCTGATTAACATTGCAAATAGTGGTGAAGGTGTTGGGATTTTTACTGAAATAGTTCTTATTGAGCACTAATTTAAACATGCATACATGGTTAGAGTGAGTTTCCTAATCTCAGGAATTCCTTCCCTAGGTTATTGATTCTCCTCTTTTTATAACGTCCAGCAACAACTTGTGACAATTGAATATTGTCAGTGAATGTCAATGAAAGAGACTCCTTAGTGAAAGCTGTTACAAGTATTCAACACAATATGTGGTGGCTGATGCATCTCCTAAAGATACTCTCTGAATCAAATTTTCTGTAGAAGTGTTGCTTGTCTCCTCTTCCTCCTGCCTCTTAGCTATTTCTTCCCATCTTTTGAAAAATTCTTGCATCAGACCTCTTTCCCCTACCTCAAGTCTGTATTAATACTATGTACCATGCAGCATCCAATTCATCAGACTCTTTCCCTAATACTGTGTCGCAGATGGAGTGAGCCTGCACTTCACTCATAAGAGAGAAGCAACAATACTTTATTGATAGAAAACAGTGAGTTAAAGTGTGAATTAACAAAGTTCAATGGTAAATGCGACAGTGAACAAGATTCGATGGCAAGGTACACTTGATTATTTACTGCATAGAGGACAGGGTCAGACATTACTGTCAGGGAGACCCTCCCGTTGAGTCATGAGGTTCAGAAAGGAGCCCCTTGCTTTCTAAACTTCTCAGAGAGGAGTTTAGGTGCGGCTGGATCCAATCCTAGTCCCAGTCTTGGTCAACAGTTTATGTCTAAAGGATTATATATGCGCACTCAATCCTTTATATCACTTAGCTAAGATTTCAAAGTTTAGCATGCTATTAGTCGCTTACCGAGTATCTGTTGCAGCAAAGCATCTCTCAACCTCGAGGAGTAACCTTGAGAGGCGTCCCTACTCACGGGGAGATCCTGGTGTGTAGCCCACTGCCGTGCAGGAGAGCTCAAAGGGCTCTTGGGCTGCTCACTATTTATAGGGGTAAGATGATTGACTCATAGTCATATTTACATACTGATAACTGTGGTTAGGTGGGCGTATTTCTCACAATAACCAAGGGCTATTGTGTTGTTATCTGGCTCCTGAATCCACTTCGTTAATGGACGAAGTATCACCATCAGCATCCATTAACGACTGCCCCTGGTAGTTATCACTTAAGCAGGGTTACAGGAGATAAAGGTCAGATTGGGCGGGGGAGCACACCGTCACATACTGATACATAGCTTTCTGGATAATTTGGGGGGTTTGTGTTCTCTGTTATTCCCACACTCATTCTTACCAATGTCAGTTCCACCCTGAATGAGCCACTCTGTGGTCCAGGAAGACATGCGTATTTCTTGTTTTTCAGTCTTCACACAAGTGCAGTGCTACTTTAGCTTACCAGAAGGACTGTTGACTGCACTTGGTCTTCTTCCAATGTGATTCTCTCTAGTATCTCTGTTCCCAAGCTCACACTCTCTCTGTTCATCACCTGGCCTCTTTTCACATGGTCTTCTGTTGTCCTTCCTGGCTTATCAGCGTTTTCTGAGGTGCCAGTGGAGACTTCTCAACTCATTGCAGACTTTGCTCACACTCTCCGTTTCCTCTCCTTGGAAGTTTGAAGCTCTTTGTCCTTGAATATCTTTCATACTGGATTCCTTCACCCTTTTGCTTAATAGCAAAGCTCACCCTGTCAACTCCATGCTGGCTTATTTTGTACTTTTCTCAGTTCTTCCTATTCTGTGGAACTTCATTGCTGAAAGTCCCATAATTAATATAAATTCCCCCTTACAGACTTTTTCTTCATCCTCCAAATTTGCCAAATTCTTATTCAGTTGAGTTCATTCCTGGAGCCCTAGTGTCCTGGTTTTGGCTGGGATAGAGTTAATTTTCTTCCTAGTAGCTGGTACAGCGCTGTGTTTTGGATTTAGGATGAGAATAATGTTGATAACACACCCATGTTTTAGTTGTTGCTAAGTAGTGCTTACACTAGTCAAGGACTTTTCAGCTTCCCATGCTCTGCCGACTGAGAAGGCTGGAGGTGCACAAGAAG